TGATGTGTATTTTCAGATCCTGTATTATTTAACTGTGATGTGTACCTTCAAATCCTGTATTATTTAACTGTGATGTGTATTTTCAGATCCTGTATTATTTAACTGTGATGTGTACCTTCAGATCCTGTATTATTTAACTGTGATGTGTACCTTCAGATCCTGTATTATAAGTTAGGGTAAAAAATCCTGCTGGATAGAACATTGCCCATTTATCGGAAAAGTCTTGAAATCATTGATTAAAACCAGAGAATAGATCTCAGATCTAAAAACATAAGATCAGAGAATAGAAGCCACCCAGTTTTAGAATACAGGATCTGAAGGTACACATCACAATTAAATAATACAGGATCTGAAGGTACACATCACAGTTAAATAATACAGGATCTGAAGGTACACATCACAATTAAATAATACAGGATCTGAAGGTACACATCACAGTTAAATAATACAGGATCTGAAGGTACACATCACAATTAAATAATACAGGATCTGAAGGTACACATCACAGTTAAATATTGTGAGTACGATGTTTGTTCTGTGATTGGTTAGGCAATAACTACGTGTATAGGGTTTATTCTAGGATTGGATAGAGGCTACTGGATTATTTTTCTTACCTGTATTTGGGAAGGAATAGAAGTAATAACCGCTGAGAAAAATGGTTTCACGTCAGGACACAAACATATTGTGTTTGTTTGGGTCGGATATTCTCGCAAAGCTATACGAGGGCTACCTGCTATAGCCGTCCTTAATTTTCAAATGATAGATTAAGATGGAAGGCAGCTGGTCAAATCTTGGGCTACTCGAATCGACGTGGAATTTGACCGGCGCTTCTATAACGTACCCACAATTCCAGAGTGCGGACGCGAACCATTAATCCTTGGATTCACAATCGGGCATATTACCCACGAGATCGCACCCGGGCACAATTTGTTTTTACTAGGTGATACAAAAGGGGGGGGGGATTTTATCATATAGTTTTTTTTATTCATACTATTATGCTACTTTGGTTCTAAAACTGGACAGTTGTTACATGTGAAAAACCTTGTCTTAAAATCCTTATGGAACATATGCAAGGTACATGTTTGTTTTTAAATCTACGCGAGTCTTTTTGTAATGGCTAGAGATAACATGTAAATTGGATATGCACCATCGTTAATTGAAAGTGACGCTAGAGAGAAAATATTCCGAAACCAGGCGCAGAACTTTTACATAAAAAGCATAATAATACTCAGATTCTACGACAAATTAACGTACAAGATTTTAAAAGATACAATTATTTTTACTTTTATAACATTTTGAGTTCTAAAGTTAACTAAGAAGAAAGAAACAGACAACTACCTCTTGATAAATCAATAATTTACTGAATTAAAAGATATATCACTGGCATTTTTTTTACTAAAGCGCTAAGCCTAAGTATTTGTAATTAAATAAAGAATTAAGCCTAAATACGTTTTACTAACGTTAGTATCATATTCGCGCGTGAGTTATGAAAGTTCTTCGTGATGTTCCGACATCTTTCTAACAGCTAATTAGAAGTGAAACAGTTGAAAATGTATAGATAGTACAAATTAAAGAGCTAACCCTAAATAAGTTTAAAGAACTAAAGTGCTAAGCCTAAGTACTTGTAATTAAATAAAGAATTATTGGTATAGTTGATGTTATATGGTAGCTACTAAAGAAACTATTACGAAAACAACTGTAACTGATTTTAAACTATGTTCTATATACAACAAGCTTTGAAAATATACATTTTGTTTTCACTTAAACGTTTCTTTTTTTCTCTAATTTATTATTATTTCGGCGAATTGATTGTTTACTCATATATTTCGCGTAGTTCTTGTTCTTATTGAAATATATCTTAGTTTAATTACACAGTTTCTCATTAGATGAATGTTTTTATAAAGTTCTAACGTGCCTTGAAGGCTGTTTTTCATCCTGTTTTGGTGAAACCCTTGATATCTTTATATATATATATATATTTTTGCTTATTGTTTCAGACAATGCAAGGTGACCCCGCATGACCTATGACCTTTCCAGTATAAGCAGCCGCTACGAATGTCCTTGATCAACCACAAATGTAAATTTATAGAAACTTTATAATGATTTCATGTATCGTATTATTTAATTTTCTGTTTTAAGAATTTTTTGTTTCTTACGAATTATTTAACAAAGCTATAGCCGTATTGTTATTTTTTCTTTGTTCATTTCTTTTTACCCTAATGAACATAAAATCCTCATCCTAGTAAATACCCTGATTATTTGTGCTGCATGTGAACCAATATGTGTAAAATAAATGGCATGACCAGGTGGTTAGGGCGCTCGACTCGCAATCTGAGGGTCGCGGGTTCGAATCCCCGTCACACAAAATATGCTGGCCTTTTTTTTTTTAGCCGTGGGGGCGTTATAATATGACGGTCAATCCCACTATTCGTTGGTAAAAGAGTAGCCCAAGAGTTGGCGGTGGGTGGTGATGACTAGCTGCTTTAGCTCTAGGCTTTCACTGCTAAATTAGGGATGACTAGCGCAGATAGCCCTCGTGTAGCTTTGCGCGAAATTCAAAAACAAACAAACACTCGTATTCTTTGATTATTTTTATGCGTTTTGAGAGTATCCTACTTAATATTTTTTAAACTGAGGTCGTTTCGCATGTCGCGATTAATTAAAAAGGCACTAATTGTGAACACTGATGACTCTCTTTATCGTGGAGCTTCATAACAAACAACACACGCATCTTTCAA